AATCTATGGAAAAGATGACTCTCAGCATCTGAAACTTCACTCAATATTCAATTCTCTGGAAAAATGGGCATCTGCTCTTCTAGATACTTTTTTATTGAGCTTGTAGTCTACTTTTCTGATCATACAGTTCGTCAGTAGATGACGATGAACTATATTGCTATTTTAGAAAGAAATGCATTACTTACATGATGGTTCCAGCAGCTCTTTAGAAGGAGACCACATCATTAAACATTCAACATCTAATGAACCTGCCTAGCTGGAACAGCCTCCTTCTAGCTGGCATAGGAAGGCACTGACCACATTCATCTGTAACATCAAGGCTGGGTGTAGCTCATGGATACTTTTTTTTGGGGGTGATAATTTTTATTCATATTTTAGAAAAGAAATAATTTTATTCCAGCTGAACTCATTATCATTCTTGGAAATGAGCAGTTAAATATGGACAGTTCTTTTTTACAGCATTTTCTTTTCTTATAGATGAACTGACCTCTAGTTGCCAGCACTACAATATAATTTGCCTCACCATTACTTTCACAAAACCACTATTTGGCATATCTATCCTAGTCTAAATGGAGATAGCTTCTATAAAGAAATGGGTCAAAAGACAGAGTGGGTGGAAAAAGTGACGTTAAACCATTCATTGAAAGGTGGATTTTCTTTTTAATGATAATCAGAGAGGATGAATGACTTATTTCCTAGATAAATATCAGCAAAAATAGGAAATATGGATACAGGTTTATCCTGACATACTTTGTATTGCCTATTGCTGCTTCATTGCCGTGATTTGCAAGATATGTGTTTTAATATTCAGAAATAATTAATCAACAAAATGAGCTGGAGAAATATAGCAGAAAAGAAAAAAAATCAAACCAAAACACAAAGAGAATTTAGTTATTAATCATTAGTAATTTTACGGTATTCCTTGAAAATAAATTAAGTGTACAGATACACATATATATTTTCGACACACAAATATCTGTCTTTAGCACTGACAGTGGCTCAGTCTCTCTGAGTACAATCTCAGTGTGAAACTTTCTTCAGCTCTTTTGTCTCTTGCTTGTACTTAGAGAAACTGGAGATGGAAAAGACATGAAGATATCTATAGTACAGCAAAACTGTTCCCAGTAGTACAATATATTCTTAACTATTCTGTCCACCGTAGTTTTAAATTATTTGTATGATGACAGTTCTATAAATTTCTAGACACATAAGATGGAGACATCAACATTTTTCAGTGAATATTAAACATAACTATAAAATATATTTCCATAAATATCTCATTATCAAAATATAATTTCTTTTAAGTTTTGTTTCCAACTAAGAAATCTAAAAAAAAATAATGCAGATTTAAACTATTACATAAAATAGTTGGAAATGAGTAAAGTCATTTTTCATTGGTTTATATTTACAAAGGTTTACATTTCCAAGGAATGCGTTAGTAGTTTAATTACCTGAAACAATACAGTAAGAGTATATACAATTCTAATGATGCACTCAACATACCACTTCAGCTATTTACTTAATATGGTGAATAATAATTATAATTCTAGCTCTCTCTTTCTTAGCAACTCTGTGGCTTGCCTTTTTACAAATAAAGGGGACATTTTTTTACTCCAGATTGTACGAGTAAAGATGCAAAACTGTTGAGAAACTTACTATAGTAACTTCAGAGAAATAGAAATCTAAAGCACATTTTTAAGCCTTCACTAGTGCAAGGAATGTTACCTACCCATTTGCCATGACTCTCTGAAGATCTGCTGTGTAGAGAAAAGTAATAGCCAAATCAAGAGTCCTTTGCTCTAACATGCATGCAAAATGCAGCTAAATCAAGGAACTAGAGAGACAAAGTCCTAGTATCTGAAAATTTACAGACACATTCCTCAATAATCCAGTGTGCCTGCCTACTTTTCCTGCTTCCACTGCATGCCAAGAGTGTGTGATTACAAGTTCTCCTAACCATTTAGAGTGATGCTTTAGGAAAAGACACTTGATTTCCCTGCAAGCTTATCCATTACTGCAGAGCAGCTCTTCAAACGCTTCGCATGGCTGCAAGCGTGCGGACTGGGAGGAGGGTGGGAAGGGCGCAGAAGGAACACGTCGCCGGGTAACTGAGAGCAGCGCTGCACGGCCGGCCAGGGAGAGGTCTGCAATGCTGGAGTCAGTATGCACAGCACTGCCTTCCAGAAGCTAAGATGGAGTGCATCACCGATACAAAGCAGGACCAGGATTGTATAACAAGGTATGCTGGTTGACCCTGAGAACTGGAATGATGGAGAAAATTCAAAGAACAGAGTCACGAGTTTTAGTGTTAAAACCAAAATAATCTATTGTAAATTGCGAGATGCTTGGAAGCATCTTAAGGAAAGAACAAGGATAGAAATTTCAGGTATACTAAAAGTGACCAGTGTTAATACACAAGTATTATATGGAGGTATTATACAGCAGAATATTACTGCTGCCTATAAAACATGAGGACAATAAGCAAAGGAAGGAAAAGAACTACCTAAGCCGCAAGGCAATAAGGCAACGCATCTTAACGATGTTAGCGTGAAACAGCCAGAAGTAAATCTAAGCCAGAAATAAGAAGGTTCACAAGCACTGCAATATTTTGGCCCAGGAACAGCTTTCTGTGCAGAGAAGCAGGGAGAACATTCTAGAGTGTATAGAACAGGTCAAATTCTTCAGGAAAGGGGCAGTGTAAGTAGATGCCTATGGCAGCCACAGTCTGGACTTGGTTGTCAAATTGACACTTGTACTCTCTCCATGGAACAGAAGCAAATGGTGGAAAAGTGATGGGATTGGGGAACAGAGCTTTCTCTCCAGCAGAACACCAACAGGAGCCAAGATAGTGACTTTGGAATATGTGTGTTTAATGCACAGCTTTCTTTTTTGTCTCATTAAAACATAATAGAATCCAAGAATCACAGAATCATTTAGGTTGGAAAAGACCTTGAATATCATTGAGTACAACCGTTAAGCTAACACTGCCAAGTCCACCACTAATTCATGTCCCTAAGCACCACACCTACATGTCTTTTAAATACTTCCAGGGATGGGGACTCAACCACTTCTTTGGGCAGCCTGGTTCAATGCTTGACTATCCTTTTGGTGGAGAAATTTTTCCTAATATCCAATCTAAACCTCCTGCTGTTGCAACTTGAGGCCATTTCCTCTTGTCCTCTCCCTTGTTACTTGGGAGAGGAGACCCACACCCACCTCACTACAACCTCCTTTCAGGTCTCCCCTGAGCCTCCTTTTCTCCAGGCTAAGCAACCCCAGTTCCCTCAGCCTGGTATTTGCAGTCAAACTTCTTCTGCTAACCTAGTATGGGTTAGCCAGATTTATTAACATGTAAGACAACTTTACAAAACCATTTCATAGCCTTGCTTCTAGTCTTCTAGATTTTTCTGTTGTATAGTCCATTGATCAAGACTCACAGTCTATTGAAAAATCAATAGCTGGAATTGTCTCTACATTTTCAAATACAAAGGTGCCATCAATAACCTAATTAATAATTAGGCATGTAGGACATGCATGGTTGCACTGAAATGTTGAAAGAAAAGAAGAGTATGAATACCGAATACAGTAACAGCTTTGACATCAGCTTCAGGAACAACAAGATATTCACAAAGCGAAGAAGAGAAACCATGTAATTTCTCTTGCCTATCTATAACTCCTTTCTCTTATGAACCCACCGTTTCAATGTCAGCGGCTCTGGCAAAAGCATTTAAACATGCATTCAGTTTGTACAATGGATTGACCTAACTTTTGCATCACAGATATAAATGCATCTAGTTTCTGTCATTATAGTTTAACAGCTTAATGACCTCTAAAGGCAGAAACATCAGATTCTTTCCTTTCATACATGTTGTTCTGTTTCTATTTAGGTATCCTTGTATGCTTCCCCCGGTACATCTCCCACTCACATTTACTGCTTTCTCTTGGTTCTTTATTTGCAAGCCTCCCTACCCTCCCCTCAGGATGTATTTCTAGCAGCTGTGTTCTCTCCTACACAGATCATCCCTCCTTATACCGTGAAATCGCAAGCCAACCATGTAGGCATAAATGAGGCTACACTGAAAGAAGGAAAACATTTGCTATTAGAAAAACCCAACCTCCAACACAGACAGATTTTGATGCCTTTAATTTAACTGTGTATACCTTCACAGACGTACATAAAACAACTCTAAAAGGCAGAACTATAAGAGAAAAACAGTTTTCATACTTAAATTAATATACAAGTATATTAATGCATACTTGCAAGCTTCTAATCTGACTAAAAATCTTGCACCATAGTAGCGCTTACGCAATGATTCTTAAATATTTAAGAGTACGACACTATTCCAGAACACTGTAGAAACAAACATATAAATATGCTCTTAAAAAGATTTTCCTCATTAAGCACATTTCCACCATCTAACCCTTTTTGAAAAGCTTGACTAGTTGTTCACCTATCTACAGAAAAATACATGCTATATAGTACTTCGTATTCTTTAGACAGTAGCCAAGTGTTTGAGGACAGTATAGATAAGCACAGTGTAAAGTTTCCATCTGCTTCTCTCATTGTTATAGATAAAGAAAATAGCATCAAAGTGTACCAGAGGTGCAAATGCTCTGAATTCTTGTACTTATTTTTGCACTAGAGATATAATTTAGGAAATGCCTTTCTAACACCAGTCACTTCATATATGTAAAGTTAAAGCTATTTCCTTTTAACTCAGCATCTCTTTTGGACAAGGAGCGTTCAACTCCATCACTGCTCAGAGGTCACTCAAACTCTGGGAATACAGACCTCCTGCCATGTAACCTTGCTGTACATTTGCTGTACATACATGCACATAGATTATTTTCCTTCTCTTTGTAAATTTTTTGACTGCTTTACAAGTCTGGCTGCTTCTTATACTGCAGTTTCCTCATCACAAATTAACTACAAGGGTCAAAATGAAATCTTGCTTTGTTTATAGGAAGATTAATTTCAAAATAAAATTTCGAATTCTTACCATGGTCTGTAAGTTCAGACATGCAGAGTTGACTTGATGTCTCACGTCCACTTGGTTCATCGTGTCCTATGGACACACAGTCACAAGTAGTGACTGGCTGAGAATGAATTAGGGGTTTTGAAGTCTGTTCATCAGATTCCTTAGTCGAACAAAGCAGCATGGAGAAACAGGTACAGTTAGAGCTTTGAGCAGGATCACTATACAATGGTTGTCCTGATCTACACAACTGCTGGGACTTGTATTAGGCAAACAGTAAAAAAAAAAATTCCTAACTTTTTTGTAAATGATCCGTAGTGACTCAGCCATAAGCAGAGAGAGATTTAACATATTTTTTTTTTCTCCAGACACGATGGGAAATAGAAACTAGACTGCATGTGAAAGAAAAGGTAGGAGACAAAGCACCAACAAAAACCTCATTATTTCTGTGACGCTTTCACTGACTATTTCCAAACTGACACTGTTCTCTCTCCCATAAGATATAGTGCTAGAATTGGACAGGCCTATCTTCTGTTGCAGATAGCTTAAAAGCAAAGGCCATCTTACACTGGGAGTCATTCCAAGACTTCATTGTTACTAAAAAGCTAGTTGAAATGTTAATATTCTTAACTAATCAAATGAAAAGAACCCACAGTCATGCCAAATTAGTGTTTAAAGGATTACAATTCTCAACTTATCTTGAAAATGAATGCATTTTGAACTCTGATGTCATGCAGACTGTCGGTAAGTACATTTCAGAGAGCAGATTTAGATTTAAGGGTGACTTAATAAAAGTAAATTGTGCAATGAATAGAGAGTTTGTTGAACCACATCTGAATAACTGAACGCACTTTCTCTCCTCACAGATCCAGCTAAGCAGACCAGACTTTGATGCACTTCCAAATGATGGGTCTCAGAACAGGATTGCGCATCTAGTGCTACAGAAAGCATGTAGGAAACAAAAGCACTGCGCACTGAACGTGCAACCATGAGGCCTCTGAAACAACAGCCATACGTACGTGTAGGACATCGACATTCAGCTGCTGAAAATTACGGCACCTGAATTCTTGCATTCTTTTGATATTTTCTTGATACTTTTCTTCTGCCAGCTGTCTGTAAATACAGAGTACTTGCGTTTAGGATGCAAAATCAGAGATTGCACAAAAGGATCTTCTAGAAATAGATGTGGAAAAGCAAATTCCATAATTGGACTCCTACGATGCCAAACATTAATGGCTTCTACTCAAGTGAGGTTAGTTTTAATGAACCCACAAAGAGATTTCAGGCCTTATTTCCAAACACTGTTACATTTTTATTTCACAATTCAAATAATATAATTGAGAAACAGTAAATTTACTGTTACTAGTAAAATTACTAGTCCTAGTCCTTTTTGTTTCTTCCAAAGATCTTAAATGCTTTGGACTTCATTCCACCCTGTAGTCCATGGACCTTTCAGCTGAAGTCAGGCATGCAACTCTTTCGTTCTATGAACACCTCACCTAGGGGAGAGTTGGTAACTGCGTTTTTCTGTGCAGGACTACTTAAGCCAGGTGCTACATTAAGCAGCTCTTCCAGTTTCCATTATTATATTCCCATTCATCTCCAGATTTGCACTGCTGAAAGTAGTCTGAGAAGGTACTGGTTTTGCGCTGCTTCAAATACTTTCAACAGGAGTGAGCTGGCAATAACCCAGAGCTGAATATAGATCCATTGTAAAGACTCATGATTGAGAACAAGAGTTGAAGATTAATGTGTTACCTTTATATTACAAAATAAATATATTTAATTTTGTTGCTGGGGAAAAAAACCTTGAAAATCTAAATAGAAAACACTGAAGTGCAAGAAAGAAGAGAAAATTAAAAGTAAACTAGAACTATCCTGCAATTAGTATTATTTCCTAAACTCCATTCATTTTAAAAAAGTGAGAGAGACAGACTTCCTATTTCTTAATTTCATGTAAGTACAAAAATTTGGCTACCATATTACTGAAAACACTATGCAGAAGAGGTGTTAAATTTATACAGTGGTTTCAATTCAAGGAGATTTTTCTAAAATGAGAAAAAATTTACATGCCATCTGCAGTATCAAATGCAATGGTACACTTCAGACAGACACACATACTGATCAGACATATTTTCCAAAAGGAGATGAAGGCCTTTAGTTTTTTTTTGCAGCCTTTGAGTATGGGCATCACAAGTTGGCACAATTAATGTCAGGGTGTCATTTTACTGAGCATTTTAACGCAACTGCAGTTACTATTGATTTGCAGGTATATGCAGCTGCAGAGTCTCTGAGGTCAGAAATTCAGACTTCATGTCACCTTACAATATTTTTCTCTATTAGGACATCATTGCCTTATCGAATTGCTAACTTGCTTTGGCATGACAGGGTTAAAATGCTGATTCTCATGCTCAAAAATAATTATTCCCTCTATTACCCTCTATAAATGAGTAAACATTTGTTAATTTATATTGCACTTTGCAAAATGCTTTTGAAGAAAACATTAAAAATTAATTGAAAATTAATGTGGTGCTTTTCTGATTTTCATTCATACCAGAAAAAACATTGAATATTTTTAACTGGGAAAAACCCAAGTGTGTCATCAAAACAGTATATTGGCTTTATTTAAAAAAGGAATCCACGCAGAGACACATAGCCTTCCAGCTGTTTCTCATATTCCACTCAGAAATTGTACTTATTTTTCTTCAAATTCTCCCTTTTATTATGTCTCACTCACTTAATAAAAAAATATAAATCATAAAGCCCTTATAACACGCCCATTACTCCTGTTTGATCATCTGATAAGACTACCCTCTGAGCTATTAACTTCTATCGGCAAATTTTTTAGGCCACAACAATTGACAAAAGCTGTATTTTAACTAAATATCCAACTCCTCAGACTGTACAATCCTCAAAATGACAAGTCATTAAAAAAAAAAATTCCTATAGTAACACATCTGAAAATCTCTCATGTGCTTATTTAACCAGAAACATAGTGCTCAAAGTACCATTTTTGGGCTAATATTCTGACTTTTTTTTTCCCCCACATAAATAATTACTGTGATTTAACTCATCCAAAAATCTCAGTTCACTTTGAGTAGCTGAAAATCCTATTTTTATTTTTACCTTGACAGTTCTAACTCTCGTTAGACTGTTCGATGGTGAAAACTGCATGGTTAGGGTGTGATGCTAATGTTATGCTCAACTTACTTCAACTTCTTTGCTTTTTCATCGGCAGCATTTAACTTCCTCAGCCTCATTCGTTCCCGCGGTGTCATTTTCTGTACTTCAGACAGTTCCTGCAGAGTTTGCAAATGAACTTTCCTCTGCCTGAAATTGAACGCATGCAAACCCATCTTCATATAAAAATGTAAATATCAGTATTTTATTTGATACTGGAACATAGTGACATTTCAAATGGAATAATTAGAAATTCACAGGTGCTATAACAGACTAAATAGACCTTGGTTTGGAAAGCAAATGCCTCTTTCAAACTGAAAGATTTAAACTTAGATTCATGTAGAACCTGAATCATTTCAGGTGAGAATGGAAAAAGGTAAACTTAGGTCCTGAAAAGAATAAATGTCGAAGCACAGTGAAATATTTACCCTGTCAAGCTTCATTATCGAGCATATTACAAGCACAAAGGCAGTCTTTACATTAAAACCACAGAAAAAAGCAATATCCCACATACATTTTACATTGATTGTTACAAGCTGTCTAGAATAAAATGTGTCTTTAATGACAATTATAATTATCATGTTGTCCTCTTCAATTTCTAGTCCTAATCAATAATAACAATTCACCAGTAAAATGCTCTCCACAGACCATCTCTGAAAGCTGAACATGAATTATTGACATATGTATCTCAGCTGTATTTATCAACACGGGAAAGCAACATTAGTCCTGTATCAGAAAAAGGATATTAATCTCAGATTTTTATCTCACACCCTAAGGTAATTACAAAAATTAAACCATAGTTTGCAATGCCTTGACAGCCATATTTCACGCATATTACTTTTTCTATTGTTTATATTTATGATACCAAATATTCATTTCAAATTGCTGTTTTTGCTCTTATGAGATAAATTCACTTCTTAACCATCTAAGAGCCC